CAGAGAATCCTGCAGTACATTTTTACCTAAGCCTTTGGACACAAGGACATTCTGTCGACTGCGAGGATATCTCGGATTGGGTTGAGGATGAGGAGGAGTTTTCATATCTACTAGTCTGTTGTTTCATGGGAACTGTTTTTCTTTCTATTATGTTTTGTTTCATTTCATCTTATTCTCTTGTGATTCTCTACTCTTACTTTAGTTACTACTTACGATCTCAGGAGGACTTTCCGCTTGCGTTGAGGAGGAGTGTTGGAGTTCGGAGTTCGAACGTACAACGCAGTTTCGGTAATTCCCGGCAGGTCTTTTGTGCGCGTTGGACGCGCCTCTCGCTTTCCCTCATTCACTCGTCTATCGGTGTCTGAGGGTAAGCAACATCTATCTACTTTACTGTCTACTGTACTTATTCTTCCTGTAGTGTGTTCTACCCTACAGGTAACTTCAATCTATTCACTCGTCTATCGGTGTCTGAGGTGTGTTCTACCCTACAGGTTCTAACATGTTGTTGGTTCATAATAACTGAGGCACCGGAGTCAGACAAATTCTGCGAATGCACGATCATGTTCGTGACATACCTCACCACGGTGTCGCACAACCCCGGAGCACCAGCGGTAATGAATAGTGCTTCGCTTCTGATAGTAAGCACCATGCTTCGCCGTCGCCGTCGTTTACCTGCCAGAATTGGCCATCTCGATGTCTTCCATATTCCACCTTATTTTTCAGGGGGAGATTCTAACTGGGCCTTCAAAAACTTTGTTGAGCAAGGTTACATTCGAGATAAATTCGATTCAAACAAAGACGGGCTTCTATATTGATGAATATAATGCGTAACTCTTAACATAGGGCTAGAACACCGACACCTTCATTAGACCCAAAGCATCTCAAATGGAATAAGGATTGAACCACATACCAGCATTCTCCAAAGCTCCTCACCACAGTAAAAAGAGAATCAGAAACCCCTTCTCCCCGCTCGTAAAGCAGCCTTCTGTATCGCCTTGGTCACCTCCGAGGTGTCTCCGTAATAGTAGTCGTCACGGTTCCAACACTGCAGCCCAGAGACGTCTTTCAAGGACGACATCCTGACACACACCCGCGACCATACATGTGGACGTCCTAGAGTTTTTGGCCTTAACAACCCGCTGAGCTTCTGGACCTGGTGAGTTATCGGGACCTTCGTGAGAATCGAAATGAGAGCATGTTCCGCATGCGCTCGGGATGGTTCATGGATAGTGGGATCGGTAATGTGGAGCTTGATCATGAAATGATCATCGTCCGTCTTGACCTCGAAATCCGCAGGCCAGCCAACGTGTTCATGCACTTGTAGTGAATCATAAGGCCTTGAGAGTGCGGGAATGTGAGAGTGGCGAGAAACTAGAACAGAGAGGGCTTCGTCCAGGGCTGAAGTGAATGGAACCTCGCAATTTATTGAGACTTGAAATGAGGCTACGTTTGGAAGTGTTGAGAAGTGCAAGAACGTGGTGAGGGCCTGAGGTGTTATGCTGAGGGTGACCGAGCGCAGGCGTGATAGTGATATGTGAGCGAAATTCTCCAAGGATTCATTTGCGGGGCTGTATATGTGAGGTCTGATGACGAGATATCTCAAGGATGGCATTATTGACAAGGCAGCATGGAGATCGTGGAGAGTAAGTGATTCAGAGTAGCTCTCGATGGCCAGGTAGGTAACGTGTATGAAGGCTCGCGACGATGGATGGAGTCCAGAGAGCCAGCAGTTTTCAGTGCGGATCACTTTCAAGTGGGACGTAGATTGGTGAAATGGCGGAATGAGTCGGAGTTTTTCTTGTCTTTGTGTTGAAGAAGTGAAGATATATAAGTGCTGAAGGCATGGTGCAGGTTCCGCCAAGATTGGAAAGATTGCTGGGAGAATACTACAAGAGAAGAGTTTGTCGATTACACACAGCTGTGCGATGCGACTGATGTTCCGGCGCAAAAGGGCAATTCTATTGGCAACGATGCAAGGGTCTTCATGATTGGAGACGTCCAAAGAAATTGGCATGGATGCTGAGCGCGAAGTGAGCCTCTCGATCCACTCGGACGGCATCTCGTTCGACGTGTCCCATGTGGAACTTGCCCAAATAGTTGGACTAGCTAAGGCCGCTTCTCGCCAGTGGCGACAGACATGAGTCACTTTGATCCACGGTAGGCCGATGCAGCGTCCGGCACAGTAGCACTCGCCTGACGAAGTGTTGCAGCGGAGACGAGCAAAATGCGAGAAAATGCGGACGAGAAGCTCGTTCGGAAGAACGGAGATTGACGACGAGCTGTAATTATACGGCGTTAGGACGGTGTCGACGATACTGATAGCAAGAATGGAAAAAGAATCAGTGACCGTTCATGCATGGTCTGGAAAAAAGGCGCCTACGCGACAATCTCATTTTGTGAATCCATTCTCAAGCGGGACCGCGATGGCTGGATGATTTGAGTTCCAGAGTCAAGTGAACAGATCCTAGAAGCGAAACAGCATGATGCACCATACAGGTTAGGCTCCAACAAAGAAGAGACAGTAAACAGAGTCGAGAGCATTGTACTTACAAAACAGACAAAACCCGAGCGAAACGACGAGGTCAAGTAATTCCTTTGATGTATTTTGGGTTAGGAGAGCTACGCGGAACGGTGAGCTGGACTGCGTCAAGTGGAGCCTGGATGAATGGGCGTTACAGACGAGTTGAGAATGTAAAAATGCGGCAAAACATTCGCGTGTTGTTTTCAACCGCTTTGTGGTTGTTTGTAGTCACGTGTAAATATTGTGTCAACGGACTTGCGTGTGGCACCCACCAGTGTGGCGGAGTTTTTAACTCATCAATGCAGATCCATCACTGGCACTTGCTGTGACACGTACGCTACAGCAGTAGTTCATAAAGAGCCACGCAACTAGCGTATATTGTGCTGTCCTTGGTATCCATTCCAGGCAGAGACAATAAATCAACAACAAATAGGACCGGCCAGCTCTGAGCACAAATAATCGTCCACTTCCAATAACCCAAGAGCACCGAGAATCCTTCAATCCCCTCCCATGTTTCTCGCGAGCGGATGGGTGTCTACGAACAGTCACTGGAGGAAGCTCGTGCTATGCAGGTTAGTCCAGACTCCACACCAAGCTCGGGCGCGTGAGTCCCTAAGTATGCACTTCGAGAGAATACAAGAAAGGTGTCGTGAGCGTTGGTGGGGCCGCGCAACCCATCACCAGCGGTGTCGATTGGTACCTCTCAGGCTCGCTCAATGCTTCCTCATTCCTCGTCCTCCCGAATTTCGCATCCGACGTATCCTCCTACCTCGAATCCTCTATCCTAAATGTCCCTGCGTCTTCCCACCCAAGCACTCTCCTCGCTTCGCGGCGGTTCCTGGTGTTTGCACCGGCGTGGTTGTTGAACCCCGGTGTTGCTTCTCCGTCCCCATCTCCCTACTGCCGAGTCAACACCGAGACATCTCCCTATATCCCGAGTCCTCCAATCCAGGTCCACCATCCCTGCTTCTTCCTACTTGCTTACTACCCAACCGCTCTTCTCGCATCGGCCTCCTGGTGTTCTTAAGGAGAGGGCGTTGAACGTGTTCGAAAAGGTGTGGTGGTTGAACCCCGATCATAACAGTGAAGGAGGAAGTTGCCGGCGGGACGAGGAGTATCGACAGGCGGGTATGTGTGCCGTCGCGGCCGAGGTCAAGATCGATCGTATGATGGTTGACGAGTAGGCAGAGCGAAGGTTATCGGGCAACGGGTATGTGTAGCGAGATGTTGCCGGGTCGCTGAAGTCGAAGCCGAAGTCGTACCGTAGCTGCTGGGTATCTGTATCCCTGAGTCTGAGAAATTAGTAACGATGTCTCGTAGTGGCACCCTACATCGCCTGGGGCCACCGCGAGTCTCCGAGTCTCAAGTCCCAGTCCCAGACCGAAACAAACCCCGAAACATGAACATATGAATCATCTCCGAGACATCTCAGTACCTCATCTCCACATCGTCACCAAATCAATAGTCAACACCAGCAACAGCCCCGACGACCTCCGGTACAATGCCACAAAGACCCGGACGACACTCTGGCGCGACCCGAACCATATCTCCAAAAACGAGGTTGACACACTTCACCTCCAGGTAATAGCCTGACACAGGCTCTATCTCGTACGTATCGACATCGGGCTCCTCATCAACAAGCCCCTCGACAACACCATCGTCCTCGTACTCGTAGTCACCATCATCGTACTCATCCTCCTCATCGCAAGCCCCGCCGAACCAAGCACCCACACCAAGCGAATCCGATTCACCCTCAAACGATTCGACGGACTGAGCATACATACCGGTACCCTCGAGCTCTTCACCATCGAGCTCGTCTAATTCCTTATGATACTCCTTTCCACATGCCACACCACCAAATACCGACGCCTCATAGTTGTTGTCGTACGGGGCCGAGTCGAAGTCGTAGGAACTCTGAGGAGACTGATCGTTGCGAGGGGTGACGGGGAACTCTCTCGTCGACGGCTCGCTCGCGCTGTCAGTCTGGGAAGAAACCTCGGAAAGTTCGTTGGAGTATTCGGACTCGGAGGAGGAGGTTTGGGAGGTTTGAGAGGAGTGAGGGATAGTGAAGGCGGCGGTAGCGATGACGGTGGAGGCGAGGGCGGGGAGTTTGTCGGTTTTGGGGAGTGGCGCAGCGGTCGTGGGCACCGAGACGTCGACGTCCTGGATAGCGTGAACTTTTTCTGTGTACATAGATAAACAAGTCAGCATCCATACCCTTGGAAAGGAGGAAATGAAAGACATGAAGAACGTACGGAACAGTCCACGGAATCGAAGCCTCAGTTTGCCGGCGATGACACCGGTGGGGGTAACAATTGCTTTGGAGAACATGTTTGTGGTTTATGCGTAAGGGCAGGGGGGTTATGCGCTTATAATTCGCTGGGGAGGTACTATGGATAAGGTATGTGCGTGGTTCGGTGGAGAGAAGTGCTCAGCATTGGGCAGGGTTTTTATATCGTTCTAAGAATTAGGTGCGGGATGTGTCGGCAGATAGGTAAAACAGGCCGTCGAATCGAGCAGTGTCGGCCACGGTCGTCGAGATAGTTCAGGTGGGAGGCGAGCCGCTTGAGACAGTAGTAGACGCCGAGACAGTCTCGGGACGGTTGTATTTCATGATATTTTGAGTCGATCCGTTCCCTGAAAACGATCGATTCCTCGACGAAGGCCTAGATGGAGAAACAAATCAGAGACAGTCAGAGACCCGAGGAGGTAAGTTCCACATCGATCGAGGCATTTCGATTCCTCATTACTTGGATGATTTGCAATAGAAAATTAGTCATGGTTGTTTCAGCACAAAACGAATTCAAACGAACGTTACCATGGGTCTGTGCGCACGAAGAGTCAATACAGAGATCAAGAGCGTACTCGCAAAGCTTATACATCTGTCCCAGTTTGATAACGTATACGGAGGTTGCTTACAATCGTCACACGTATACTCAGTGAAGCGAACGCCTTCGACCAAGCTTCTCAATCAATAGTGGGAGGAGAAGGATGTCATGGCTAGCCTCCAAAAGCCCCATTCATAAAGCGCAAGCGAACGATGACAGACTAGCAGCATCACACATCGACCGCGATATGTCTGAATGTTCGGGATTCTGCACCAGGAAGCCCGACGAGGAAAGAAATGCCATGTTTTGAGTTGCATGCAGTCATACAAGTGAAAATATAAGACGGAGAGCATGCAGAGACCATACGCCACCTATCGTCGCACCCGGACGCGCACCCACCGCCCATCCCATCCCAGAGCAACACATCAGAGTCAAAGCCAGTTGGAGCGAGAAAGTTTACTCCTCCTCCTCAGCCTCCTCCTCCTCTTCCTCCTCCTCTTCCTCCGCATCCCTGGCAGCCTCAACAACAGCCGTGGCGATACGGTCCAAATCCCTCTGACCGTCCTGCGAGATTCTCCGGCCACCGTTGGCAGTCTGCTCGAGAACACCGATCTTCTCTAGGGATTGGCAAACTTTGCGTTGAACAGAGGCGGAGGCATTGCCGTGGTGTGAGGGGCGGTTTCCGCGGCGGTTACGGCCACCGTGGAGTTTGATGAGAGCGCCGATACCGACGTCTTTGCGGAGGTAGATGTGTCGTGCGACGGCAGCTGTGGTAGGTGATCCAGAGCGGTATGATACGAATAGTACGGAAAGTAGAGGTCAGATATGAGTTTAACGAGATGTAAAGTGGAATGGACGCACCTGCGCGAACGTAGTACCAGTCGGGATCATATGGTGCGAGCTCCTTGTAAGCACCGGTCTTGACGATGTCCACCCAGGTGGGCACCTCGAGCTTGCCGGAACGCTTCAAGTGGGAAGCGTAGGCGGTGATGAACGCCTCTGCGCTGTAACACCATATACGTTCATCTATACCAGTCTTTCCATACGAACGTCGACGACGACTGACCTGATGTCACGAACACCGGGCATTTTTGAATATAATTGTAAAGGAGGGGATCCGGAGCAAAAAGTCTTGAGGGAGCGCGAGCGCGACGAGGACGACGACGAGGAGGGTACTTTGGACGGCGCGTGCGTTTCGTTGACGGTAAGCCCAGTTTAGAGTTTGCGATTTCAGACTCAGCCGCCACAGTTGTGCAGCTCAGCTCTTAGGTAATCGCTGACCGGCAACCGCCGTTTCGACTTGTTGTTTTTGACCACTTCCACTTGTTCGCCGTTCGCGGCGTTTATCTTACAAAGATGTTACGAGCAGCGCTAGACTCATGGTGATACAACACTGGATACAGAATGATATCTCGTGCTGGATGCATGTTACTTGAACGGGCGCACTTGGTGATTGTGACGAGACGGGGTCTTCCTCTCTAGGGTTTCATGCTTCGCACAGGTATATTCATGAAACAGGATATCTAATTATGGGTGTAATTATAAGCAATAGTCTACAAGGGCAAGTCGTCAATCTCGTGAAGGTAAGTCAGAATCAGTTCTCAGCGCGACATGGGTACCGTCAACGGTCGAGCTATCAGTTCAATCCCTCCCTCTGACTCTCTATATCTAATCAGATACCTCCCCCTAGGTCGACCATAACAACGATTAATCAGACTTGACTCCGAGGCTACCAGCGAAGAAAGACACTCACCAGCCGGAATTCGGATAACTAACCTTCCCAATCCTAGCGGGACCCCACGTACATCTTCTGATTGTCTCGTCCAAAGCCCTCAGAAATATGTTATGGCTCACCACCACAACATGCGGCACACCCTCCAACAAACCATCCTCCGGATGCATCCCACCTCCATCATCCCCTTCGCCTCTACACCGCAACACGCCCACCGGAATACTCTCATCCTCCACCGCCCAACGCCTCAACAAATCCACCAACACGCCCTCAGCTCTCGCATTCACCATATTCCTACTCTCTCCCCCGCCCTCCGGGACCCAATCTCGATTTCCCGTCGGAAATTCATCGCAGTGGCCGTCTCGAGCTGCACGATAACCTCTGACGTCGCCGCACGCCAGGAACGAAAGCGCGTGCGTTCCGGATTTTCGTTCGATGAGTTGAGGATGAATATGTACGCTCGGCCGTCTCTGCTTTCTCGAATCGATGAACTGCGAGCCATGCGTGATCCGGTGCGCGTGGGGATGGGGATGGGAGTAGGGATGTGAATTGATGGAGGTGTGATGGTGTCGGAGGAGCGTGAGCGCGCTGTCCACCGCTCGTGTGTACGGAGACGTATAAATACACGAAATACGGACGTTCGTCCATTGTTTGGCCAGAACGGTGGCTTGGTGGACTCCGAGGTCTGTGAGAGGGTCTGTGGCGTTCGTGGCGTCTGTGAGGGGAGTACTATGGCCTGCGTTCTCGACGCTCTGTGGTGAGCATAGCAAGGGTTAGGTACTTATGCGCAAAGGCTGCGGGTACGACTGTGCGCACCTGAGCATGTCGAATGGTAGAGATAGTCAGCCACTTCCAAGCCCCCGTCGCAGTCGGATCCAGCCTGATATCCATCAGTTCAGAAGGACAGCTGGAGGCCGCTGACTCTGCGGATCCGCCAGAGTCGGACTCCACAGAATACGAGGACCTCGGCGAACTGGTATCTTCGTCCTGGCCGTGAAGCCACTCCGGAACATCGAGGAAGTCTCGATACATAATTATAAAGTCTAGGATGAACAGGATCAAGTCGCTAGCAAAAGGAGCGTGGTGCGTTCTAGAGGAAACGAGGGGAAAAGAGTGTATAGGTAGCTGGGACCAGATTCTCTCGACCGTCAGAGTCTTGAGGGCCTGAAACTCAGCCTAACGGGCGCTGTTTCGATTGCTTCTCCACCTATATACTACCCTGAATCACTGACTTTCTTACATATGTCATCGTCTCGGTCCCGGGGTGGGTGCCATATTTATGTAACCTAACTTCCTCGCTTGGGCGGACGAACAAGCTGCCTGTGTTTCATTCAACTCATTTGGGTGCCCTCCTCGTCAAGCGAAGGTCAGTGGGCAACCAGTGTACTTACTTGGGGTGGAGAAAGGGTGGAAGGGAACTAAACAGAAGGCGGGGAAGTCTGAATCGAGGCCCTCACGTACTTTAACTGCGGCAGCAGCGTCATGCATGTTCCATAGTCTTCCCTAGTACCATCCCGGAATAACGATACGACGGCATTCAACCGTTCAGGGATCGAGAAGCAATTGGTTCGCCACCGACGTCGTCATCCAATTGGGGGTGGATGTAGTTTCCTCCAAACAGAGTGGTTCGCTCAAAAACGACTTCACGCAAGGGAACTCTGTTCGTAGAAGGCGCCCAGGAGGTAAACAAAAGTGTGCATAGATTAGGGCTGTTACAGTTATGTATTCGTATTGTACCAACTATCATACAATAGTGGTCCAAGTTTAGGAAAGAAAACATTAAGAATCGTAAGACTAACCAAAGATATCGAGCCACTTGACGAACACCTACAATCTCCCATCCCCAAGTACGCCTTCCTCGAGACGTCCCTCTTCCGAAGAGCATTCGGTATACAGCCAGAGATGACCATCAAACAAAGCTCACCCTATCCCCCAACAGATCTGTCAGCTCCATCGCATGTGTCTGCCCAAACTTCCCACACCCCACGACCGCGACATGCTCCAGCCTCCTCCAATTCTGCCGCTCCGACCATCCCGCCGACGACGGCCAAGTCGGAAAATCGTCCGCCGCCCTACACCTCCTCGTCAACGCATCCACAATCGCCTCCCCACTCACTACCTGACAATTATACAACTCCAGCCTCTTCAAGCAACTCATTCTGAGCCCAGTAATCTCTATCGGCTCCCTCCTCGACATCCGTATCCTCTCAAATTCCTCCGGATCCTCCCTCAGCAGATGTTCCGCCTCTTCCGGCTCAGGCGACGAAGGCGGCGTGATGTCAAAGTCAAAGGGTGCGAATCGTGACATGACGCGGTCTGACATATCAGACGCAACGATGCGGAATTCTTCGAGCCGATCAGCGCGTCCGAAGAACCACTCAAAGTCTTTCGTGCGCATGTCGGCATAGTCCATCTCGAGGACTTTGAGAGGCGGGTTGCAGCGCGTGAGGAGGGAGCGGAGGCCCATGCCGGTCGCGTGGTCGCTGAAGGGGGATTGTGAGAAGTCGGGGAATTCGTCGTCCGAGTCGCCTTCTTCTTCAGCGTAGTGCAAGGAAGAGAGATCGATATCGGAGACTGCGTCGATCAGCATTATGTTAAGGTCGTCGTCGTTCGCATCAGGAACGTTGGGGGCGTCAGGGTCTGGGGGTGTGTTTGTGGCGAATGCGAAGTTGGCAGTAGGTGCAATATTTGGGACGGGGCTGGGGAGGGCAGGAGAGGGCGGTAGAGCGCTTGAGGGGTTGGATACAATCGGATGTGTGACCAGAAGGTCGGCAGATGCGATTTCGGATGAAGGAGGTAAAGTGGCGCTGGCATTCCGAGGACCTCGCGGAAGGTAAGGGTTATGTGTGGCGAATTCGAAGTCGACGTTGAGGTGCTCGAGATAGAGCTCCTCTAACTTCGGACAGTTAATATAGGACAAGATGACCCGTGTGCACAGCGTCCGGTGTAATACGAGCGAACGTAGGTTGGGAAGATTCGCCATCGGTGCTCCTCGTTTCACATCTTCCGGCCGTGGCTCTTTCTCCACCATGGAGCCCGTGAACGAAAGGAACTCTAGCTCCGGGCAGCAATTCAGGAATCGAAGCAGGTCGATGGGGTTTATGTTCACATTAAAGATGTATGTCGGGCCGTCCGTGAGGTAGAGTGAAGTGATACGTAGAGGCGTTGGAAGAGAAAGTGGGAGTGCGGAGACGACGTTACTCATGAGGAGATGGTTCGGCTGCCGTGGAATAAAGGTCTTTGGATATTCGCCATTTTCATCCTGCGGTGGGACATTCTTGATGATATCCTCCAACTCGACCTCTTCCACCACGTTCAAGCTCAACTCCTCCAGAAACTGATCCTTCACCTCCGGCGCCCACATCCCGAAAAATGTGACCCTCTCCTCCTTCCACTCTCCAATGGGTCCAATCGTTAACGAGCGCCATCGTGATAGTTCACCGAAAAAGGGTGCCAGGAGGGTTATGAATGAGTCTCTGGATGCCACATTGAGATGGACATCAAAAGCAGTGCGCTTCGACCTCTCCAAGTAATACTGAGATAGTCTTCGCGTGGTGTCAAGTGAGAATGTCGTATCGTCTACGGGGATAAGATGAAACAAGCGTGGATTTCGTGATAATACAGAGTTCCAATGCCTGCAGACGCCGGTCAACGAGACGGGGGTGAGGGGGGCGGTGTGCGCGGTGTACATGAAGCATTCGATGAGCAGCTCGACCGGCAGACGATCCATTGGACAAGTGGGAACTGTCGAAGGCATTGTATGCTCGTGGGTGTTGAGCTGCTGGATCTGCGTGCTGAGTGCATCCATCGTCGTCGATGGTCAGGCGTCGTGTGCACGGTGTCTCACTGGGAGAAGCAGCGAGAGGGGCACCGGCAGATGCCGAACCGAACTTTCTCCTTTACTTCCCTGTGCAGTTCCGATATACCCCTACAGCTGACGGTATATCCTACAGCTCTCGTCGATCTGCATAGAATTATGCGGATTGAAGCTGAAGAGTAGAGACTGCAAGCGTACGTGTCACAGCAAGTGCCAGTGATGGATCTGCATTGATGAATTAAAAACTCCGCCACATTAGTGGGTGCCACACGCAAGTCCGTTGACACAATATTTACACGTGACTACAAAGCGGTTGAAAGACGCGAATGTTTCGCCGCATTTTTACACTCTCAACTCGTCTGTAGTAACGCCCATTCATCCAGGCTCCGCTGGACGCAGTCCAGCTCACCGTTCCGCGTAGCTCTCACAACCCAAAATCCATCAAAGGAATTACTTGACCTTGTCGTTTCGCTCGGGTTTTGTCTGTTTTGTAAGTAAATGCTCTCAACTTTTTTTTACTGTTTTTTCTGCATTGGAGCCTAAGCTATATAGTGCATCGTGCTGTTTCGCTTCCAGGATCTATCCACCTGACTCTGAAATTCAAATCATCGAGCCACCCCAGTCCCGCTCGAAAATGGATTCACAGAATGACATTGTCACGTAAGCCCCAAGTTTTCCACTTCCAGACCGTGCATGAACGGTCATTGATCCTTTTTTCCATTTTTGCTATCAGTGTCGTCGACACCGTCCGAACGCCGTATTATTACAACTCGTCGTCAATTTCCGTTCTTCCGAACGAGCTTCTCGTCCGCATTTTCTCGCTTTTCGCTCGTCTCCGCTGCAACACTTCGTCAGGCGAGTGCTACTGTGCCGGACGCTGCATCGGCCTACCGTGGGTCAAAGTGACCTATGTCTGTCACCACTGGCGAGAAGCGGCCTTAGCTAGTGCGGCTATTTGGGCAAGTTCCACATGGGACGTGTCGAACATGCCGTCCGAGTGGATCGGGAGGCTCGTTTCGCGCTCAGCATCCATGCCAATTTCTTTGGACGTTTCCAATCGTGAAGACCCTTGCATCGTTTCAAACAGAATAGCTCTTTTACGTCGGAACATCAATCGCATCGCGCGGCTGGAGGTAGACGAAGATTTCCTCTCTTGTAGTATTCTCCCAGCAATCTTTCCAATCTTGGCGGAACCTGCACCATGCCTTCAGCACTTATATATCTTCACTTCTTCAACACAAAGACAAGAAAAACTCCGACTCATTCCGCCATTTCACCAATCTACGTCCCACTTGAAAGTGATCCGCACTGAAAACTGCTGGCTCTCTGGACTCCATCCATCGTCGCGAGCCTTCATACACGTTACCTACCTGGCCATCGAGAGCTACTCTGAATCATTTACTCTCCACGATCTCCATGCTGCCTTGTCAATAATGCCATCCTTGAGATATCTCGTCATCAGACCTCACATATACAGCCCCGCAAATGAATCCTTGGAGAATTTCGCTCACATATCACTATCACGCCTGCGCTCGGTCACCCTCAGCATAACACCTCAGGCCCTCACCACGTTCTTGCACTTCTCAACACTTCCAAACGTAGCCTCATTTCAAGTCTCAATGAATTGCGAGGTTCCATTCACTTCAGCCCTGGACGAAGCCCTCTCTGTTTTCGTCTCTCGCCACTCTCACATTCCCGCACTCTCAAGGCCTTATGATTCACTACAAGTGCACGAAAACGTTATCCAGCCTGCGGATTTCGAGGTCAAGACGGACGATAACTATTTCATGATCAAGCTCCACATTACCGATCCCACTATCCATGAACCATCCCGAGCGCATGTGGAACATGCTCTCATCTCGATTCTCACGAAGGTCCCGATAACCCACCAGGTCCAGAAGCTCAGCGGGCTGTTAAAGCCCAAAACACTAGGACGTCCACATGTATGGTCGCGGGCGTGCGTCAGGATGTCGTCCTTGAAAGACGTCTCTGGGTTGAAGTGTTGGAGCCGTGACGACTACTTTTACGGAGACACCTCGGAGGTGACTAAGGCGATACAGAAGGCTGCTTTACGAGCGGGGAGAAGGGGTTTCTGATTCTCTTTTTACTGTGGCGAGGAGCGTTGGAGAATGATGGTATGTGGTTCAATCCTCATTCCACTTGAGATGCTTTGGGTCTAATGAAGGTGTCGGTGTTCTAGCCCTATGTTAACAGTTACGCATTATAGTCATCAATATAGAAACCCGTCTTTGTTTGGTTTGAATTTATCTCGAATGTAACCTTGCTCAGGAAAGTTTTTGAAGGCCCAGTTGGAACTTTCCCCTGATAAAAATAAGGAAGACATCGAGATGGCCGATTCTGACAGGTAAACGACGGCGACGGCGAAGCATGGAGCTTACTATCAAAAGCGAAGCACCAGTCGTTACCGCTGGTGCTGGGTTGTGCGACACCGTGGTGAGGTATGTCACGAAGATGATCGTGCATTCGCAGGATTTATCTCATCTATTACGAGCCAAAATAAACGTCACTGACCGTGTTAGTGGAGTTTCCAGCAGGACCTGGGACGATACATACGCGGTCGATTCATGTAAAACGTAGATATCGCCTGCCCGAGACAGATCGATTCAGAATCTTGGACGGCCTCGATCTTCTGAAACTGGTCCAACATCTACTGCAATACGCACACTGTCTCAGACCCGTCTGTCCCGCTCACGAACTTCAGCGACGTGACTCAAGCGCATTCACCGGCATGATTCACCTTTCCTCCGACACATCCCGCACTCAAGGCTCAAATGTATATAAACTTGCTCTAATACTGAGCACTTCTCCCCACCGAACCACGCACATACCTTATCCATAGTACCTCCCCAGCGAATTATAAGCGCATAACACCCCTGCCCTTACGCATAAACCACAAACATGTTCTCCAAAGCAATTGTTACCCCCACCGGTGTCATCGCCGGCAAGCTTAGGCTTCGATTCCGTGGACTGCTCCGTGGGTTCCTCCTTTCTTCATTCCATTCCTTTCGTTTGCCAGTATGCTGACTTGAGACGTACTTATTTGTCTACGTACATAGAAAAAGTCCGCGCTATCGAGGACGTCGACGTCACGGTGCCCATGACCGCCACACCCCGTCCCAAATGCGACAAAATCCCCGCCCTCGCCTCCACCATCACAACTACCGCCGCCATCGCCCTCCCTCACCCTTCTCAAAACTCTCAAACCTCCTCTTCCGAGTCCGAATACTCCAACGAACTTTCCGAGGTTTCTTCCCAGACTGATAGCGCGAGCGAGCCGTCGACGAGAGAGTTCCCCGTCACCCCTCGCAACGATCAGTCTCCTCAGAGTTCTTACGACTTCGACTCGGCCCCGTACGACAACAACTATGAGGCGTCGGTATTTGGTGGTGTGGCATGTGGAAAGGAGGTATATAAGGAATTAGAGCTCGATGGTGAAGAGCTCGAGGGGAACGGTATGTATGCTCAGTCCGTCGAATCGTTTGAGTATGAGGCGGATCCGCTTGGTGTGGGTGCTTGGTTTGGCGTGTCATGCGATGAGGAGGAGGATGAGTACGATGACGATGAGTACGAGTACGAGGACGATGGTGTTTTTGAGGGTCCTGTTGATGAGGAACCCGATGCCGATACGTACGAGATAGAGCCTGTTTCAGGCTATTATCTGGAGGTGAAGTGTGTTAAGCTCATCATAGGAGATATGGTTCGGGTCGCGCCAGAGTGCCGTCCAGGTCTTCGAGCGATTATACCGGAGGTGGTGGGGGCTGTTGATGGTGTTGACTATTGATTGCTGCTGATGGGGAGAGGTGATACTGAGATGTCTCGGAGATGATTCATATGTTCATGTCTCGCGGGAGATTTATGTTTCGGACCGGGACTGGGACTGAGACTGAGACTGAGATTCGGACTCGGAGACTCGGAGTGGCCCCAGGAGATGTAGGGTGCCACTCCGAGAGATTGACACTGATTCCTCAGACTCAGTGATACAGATACCCAGCGGCTACGATACGTACGACTTCGACTTCAGCGACTCGGCAACATTCCGCCACGAATACCCGTCCCCGCCTATTCACCAACCACCATACGATCGATCTTGACCTCGACCGCGACGACTCGACACACATACCCGCCTATCGAGGATCCTTTCCCGCCGACAACTCCCTCCTTCACTTTTACCGGGGCTCAACAACCACGCCTTTGCGAACACGTTCAACGACCTTTCCTTACGAACACCAGGAAACCGATGAGAGAAGAGAGCGTTTGGGTGGGAAGCAAGTAGGGAGACGCAGGGATGGTACATCGGGGATGGAGGACTCGGATTTAGGGGGAGATGTTTTGGTGTTTGATTCAGGAGCAGGACGATGGAGACGGAGAAGGATAGAGCGGAGCTCTTGAAAGGGAAGACGTAGCGATGGCATATTTGGCAGGACTCTGGTACGGGGGAGCTGGGATGCTCGACTGAAGAGGAGGACGAGGAGAATGGAAAGGCACCAAACGAGCCTGAGAGGCATCAATCTACACCGCTGGTGACGGGTTGCGCGATCCCACCACCTACGGCACATTTTTTCTTTCATCGTACTCTCCAGAAGAGTATAGTCATCGGCTCACGCGCCCGAGCTCGGCGTGGACTAGCCTACATAGCCAGAGGCCTCCTCGAGAGACCAGTAACTAGTAGTCTGGACCCACACCGCTTCGCGAGGATACGGAATGTTTGGTTTGGGGGATCGAAGGGCAGTTGTCGTTCTTGGGTTTATGGTTATCTACTTTGCGACTGGGTGTCTTCTCTCTATGTGGGTATTGCTGGAAATGTTACATATACCCATATCGCATCGCACCGTGCTGGTCAATCATCCTGCCTCGTGATGTAATATATTATAAATTGGCGTATCAAAACATTGAGCAGAACATGTGTGACCAATCCGTAGAATCTCCGAGTCCATCACGAGAACCGGCGTGTATATATGTTTCCGACATATGTACGAAGGTGACAGAGGCTTTCTTTCATACAGCTCTCGAAGCAGTTTTCAAGTTCGCGAAGTTCACGTTCAAGTTGATGCACAAGAGTGGCTCGTCGTCGGTCGTGTAGCCGTTTACGTTGATCTTGATTGGGCCTGCCAGAGATCGACGGCGGAGATGAACAGACAGAAGTTTCAGTAAAGGGGCTGCAGAACGGGACGAGGAAGTAGATGATGAGGGGAAGTAGTTGAGGGTGAATAAGGTGCAGAAGGATGCGCTCGATGCGATGGTCCAAAAACGAGGAGCTCACCAGGCGGGATGAAGTCTGGCAACTTGACAGTTTTCTCCAGTATACGATCTCCTTTCTCGACGGGGCATTGAACGGTCATGTTCGCCTTGCGTCTGTGATAAGTGCGCGGTTTCCAACATTATAAGTTCCAAGGTCGATGTCGATGAGGAACATGGCCATAGCGTCAGATCGAAAGGAGACGAAGACATCATGTTTTCAAAGGAAACGAACACGTACGCTTCCTCGCACAGATTAAACTCCTTCTGCAATATCCTGATCAACCCAAGTTTTACCTCCACGTTCGCATAGGCTCCTTCCTATAAAGAAGAAAGGCGTGTTAGCTCCAAACTATATGCCTCTTAAACGTCAATGAGAAAACTAGGCTGACGTTACGACTAGACGAGGAGATTGGAGTGGAGAATAGAGAGAAAACGAACCGCGACGTCTTCTTGTGCCGTAGCTTGAACCGAGACCGTCATATTCTCCCCAGGCTTCGGTGGATCCGGTGCGACAGCAATAGATCTTATCTGAACGGGATCTGAAGCTAAACCTGTAGATTGCGTTAAAAAAAAAACATTCGTTCAGTAGCGAAGAGGAAGGAGGAAGATACGAAGACGAAGATCCAGGGATAATAATAACGGACCACAAGATTCCCAATCCCAACTCGCCATGGTCTTCACTGGGGGACATGACATGTCGTCACCCGCGAGCCTGCAGCTGAGCAACCCCGACCCAAGTCTGAACTGACGGCCACTGGCAACCAACAGCTCTTGAACAGGCATGGAAAATGTGACTCCACTGGCAAGAAGTAAGCAACAAAGAAACATAAACAATAAAGCCAATGAGAGACCGTGACGACTCGGAGGCGTTTTCATGTTTCAGCGAGGTCACAGGTGGGTCAAGACGTGATAAGGGGACGTGGAGGGAGCCTGGAGGACAAGAAAGAGAACAGCGAATAAGTACCCAAGTATTGATTGGAGCCGAGTAATGGTGGCGTCGAGCAGTCATTGAATGATCAGAACACGATGAAAGTAGCCTGCTACCACTGGCATGGCGAATAGACGCCTACGCCCCAGTGGAAAACGTATTAGCGATAGCCTTTCCAAGAGCCGTGAAGTCCTACAATAGATAACAGGATTACCTCTACTTCAGAGTACATACACCAGCTTGTCAATGGAGCAGCATGCAAGACCATGCAGGGCAAACAGTTGCAAGCCTCAGCGAAAACACAGAATTATTAGACGTTTCATGTTGGTTTTATGAGTTGGGCGCCTACGGTTCGCGGACGTTGACGATGCGCAACTGCGTATTTGGCCCTCTCTGGGCCGTGCTCTGCGCCATCAAACGGTTGGTGGGTTGCAGAAATCTCACTGTTTGTGAGCGCTTGCAATTGAGCGTTGCTTGAGCGAGTTGCTGGTCGCGGCGAATTTCGCCTCCGTGCACGCTCCGGCATATCCCGAATCCAGCGCATTTCTTTCTGACTCCGACTTGTGTGGCGCCGGGCGATGTGGCGTACGGCGTCTCTGAAGAGTGAAGCAGCCAGAAACCGAAAACACAAGTCCTCAGACTGAACCTCCCCGCAACGGCCTTCCCAAAATGCACGCCTCACAAGAAGCAGAGAAAGAACTGAATTGTGACTATCCATTCTAAGTGTCTATAGACTATACGTATGTGTGAGGTGCTACAACAACAACGACGAAATCCGAATCCATGCGTGCGAATTATTAGTACTGTACATTTGGTGTTATTTTTCTTCTTCGCTCCCACTACTCCCACCCGAAAACAACACGGAACACACCCAAAGACGAAAACGAAAACGCGACGGAGAAGAGGGGAGGATGGTTACGACCTCGTTTTATGTGGAGGAAGGGGACCGATGATGGATGAAACGATTACAGGTACTCAGCGACATACGCATTCGTCTTCCCGCTCAACTCCGCCTGCCTCTGCAACGCCTGGGGCGCATCGAACCTGTCCATCATGATCTCCACGAGCTGGATAGTCTCGCACGAAGCGAAGGAAGGTGTGTTGAGGAGCTCGTCGAACTCCTTCTTCGTGTGAACGGTGTACGACTTCGGGCGGGGCTCGAGGTCGGCGGGGGCGAGGACGTCGAGAAGTTGCGTCCATTTCCTGTGCGCGGAAAAAATAGCAGAGTGAGTAAGAAGTTCGACCATCGGGCGAGGATAGGGAATGGTGGGAAGTGATGGGGAAGCTGGAGTAGGGCAGGCGTAGAGGGAATTAAGATGAGAAAACAAAACGCACCAGTTGACGATGTCGTTATACTTGCGGTGCGTACCGTGGAGGTACCTCTCGATCGTGTAACCAGAGTTGTTGAGGAGGAAGATGATGGGCTTCAACCGGAGCCTCATCATGGTCGACACCTCCTGGATGGTGAGTTGGATGGAACCGTCGCCGATGAAGAGGAGCGTACGGCCAAGATTCTGGTCGCGGGCAGCGAGGGCAGCACCGAGAGTAGAACCTATAGATCACAAAAGACGAACACCGTAAGCAAAAGTCCGAGAAAACGAAGGTCAGAAAGACGAAAGGGAGGATGGGAAGGGAGAAGACAAAGTACGCACCGACAGTCCATCCGATACTTCCCCAGAGAATCTGGCTGACGTTGATCGCGTCCTTGGGCAACGGCACGTCCAAAACACCGAAACTACTCGTTCCCGTCTCACTCACGATCACATCCTTCTCCCTGAAGAACTGGCTCATCCTCGGCCACATCCACGCATGGCTGATCGTCTCCTCACCAAGAGGATCCTCAGTGGGGAACCTCGCGCCGAACCGGGGGACGGACAACTTGGAGGCGGCGGCGGCGAAGCCGGCAAGCCGGGGGATGAGTTTGGGGATAAGTTGCTTCATGCCGATGGCGTCGTACTTGGCGTACTGGACGAGAGTGTGGTCGGAGTGGAGCTCGATGGTGCGCTGTTTGGGGATGCGGTAGGTGAAGTTGCCGGTGTTGAAGTCGGACTTGAGGCCGCCGATGGAGATGATGAGTTTTGCGGATTCGACCTTCTCCTTGATCTCAGGTCGGGAAATAGAGCCGACGTAGATCTACAAACACGATCGCGAAAAGTATGAGCGAATAGCCCTCAGAAAGCAAATCAAGGAAAGGAGAAGGCGAATAAGGAAATACTCACACCACCGTATCTCTCGTAACCCTCCCAGACGGCGCTCTTGCCCATGGGCGCAGCGTACACCGGGAAGCCGGTCTTCTCCACAAGCTCCTTCACCTCATCTTTCACATGATGCCTCACGGCGCAAGCATCAACCAAGAAGATCGCATCTCCATCCGCCGCCTCAACCTTCCTGACAATCTCGTCCAACACGAACTGCTCGGTCTCCTCGTCGTTGGGCGGGAAAGCGGAGGTGAGTGGGGTATGGAGGTTACCGGTGGGGATCTTCATGAAGACGACATCGGTGGGGATGAAGAGGTAGACGGGACGGGCGCTGGTGATGCAGGCGGTGATGACACGGTCGATCTCCTGAGCGGCGGTGCGCTTGTCGAGGAGGGTGGCTTGGGTGATGGCGAACTGCTCGGCGGCTTTGGCGTATGCGTCGTACCTAGAATCACACAAACTTGAGCAACGGTGCAAAAGCGGTAGGACATAAAGAGGGGCACAAACCTTCCATCACCGAGGGTGTGGTGAAGCATGGGCTTGTTCTTTTGTTGGGAAGTGCTAGGCACGCCAACAATGTGCAAGACGGGCACCATCTCGGAAAACGCTATTCATCATCAATCATTTGAAAATCAGCTTCTGCCCTCTAAACGAATTTGAGAAGGAAAGAAACACGACTGACCTCCAGCGATACCGTTGATAGCGCTGAGTTCGCCGACACCGAAACTGGAATAGGGGTTGATTCTATAAATAGGGGCTTTTGATGGAAAATGAGCGGATTGGGAGCGTACGTGGTGGTAATGACACCGATGGAGGTGGGCTTCACACGAGCGTAGCCATCGGCAGCGTAGGCCGCGTTCAACTCGTTACTGGAGGCAATATGAGGTACTGATTGAGCGATAAAGAAGGGAGAAAAAGCGAACTAACCAGTTGCCAATCCATTCCATCGCAGGGTGGTCCTCAACGAGGTCCTAGAAAGATAAGGGTTAGCGCCTGATTTACTATCTGTATAGAATGGACATGTAGCTAACCAAGAAGCCTATGAACGAGGAGAAGTCAGCGAAGGGTGCTACGATTCAAAGCGTAGAGACATACCGAGGTTGAAGTCACCAGGGACACCGAACATGGACTACATCGCCACGAACGATCTCTAATCAGTACCGCCGATTGAGCCATGGAGTACAAAACACAATACTTACGGTGACCTTGAGTTGAGCAAGACGCTCGAGGAGGTAAGCCCCGATGGTGATCTGTTCCGACATCTCTGTAAGAGTTGTTGGGTTGGGTCGCTAACTAAGAAAGTAGCTGAGAAAAGCTGGAAGCTGTTGGTGGTTGGTGATGAAGGTAGTGTTGGTGAGGAGGTCAGCTGTCCGGTTTTAGATGGAGTATATATACGGGCTGGCGGGAGAAGACGGAGGGTTGGCCGGAGGGCGGAGGACGAAGGGAGTCGAGCGTCGATGGCCTCTGCCCAGGCGCGGTCCCGATTTCGGTCCAGTCGGTGCTCACGCCACCGACGGATCTGGAGATCGACGCCACTTGACTCTCGGATCTTGCTCGGATCTACGCGCGTCTGCCCCGATGAGGAAGATCGCCATCTTATCTTCCTCTCACGGTCTCCGGATCAGACCGTGACAGGCACCGACTCCTCCGAAGCGCAATCTTTTCTGCCACACGCCCCTTCCACGAGCACACCCTCCTTCAAAGCGTTCTGGACGAGCCCAGCCTGTGCATCCTTTAGCTTTTTGCTGTCCTCCGCTTTGCATCCTCCGTCCTCCTCCTGTACGTTCTCGCTGCTAAGGCTGTACGCGTTCGCCGCCGACGTCGATGATGCGGAGGAATCGTCTGGAAAATTTTCCTTCTCAGCTGGCTGAGATTCTGGTGATTCCACAATACTTTGTGCTCCGGTCATCTTCAGCGGGATGAGCCTTCTCTCCTGGACCTCTAGATTCTCGTTGACCATGACAATTAATTTCCGTCGTCGTTCTGCTCGACGAGCTGGACCACTACTGGACTCGCGGTCGCGGAGCACCGTCACCGTCCGCAACAGCGCAACATCATGACTTGTCAGTCCGGACTCGCTCTAGGATCCCTTGACGCGCATGCAAGCCATGGATATATTTGGCTGAGCCTGCGCATTGGAGAACATCTAGATCTGCACGCCCTCCGAGACAGGTTCGGTGTCCTTATTCGCCCTGATCAATGATCTGCGTGTGGCACTGCAGTCGGCATGCGATCGTGTTATTCCCTCTGGTCGAATATTTGTATAGGCCTAAATTCCACTTCAGGACACTGTGCTTTGCGAATATTTCTCGCGATGATCTACACCCAATCCAACTACATATTACGGTACATCCTCCGTCTCATCCTCAACTTTGTCTTGCATCTCTCATGCACTTGCGATTCCAGCTATCAAGTACTGCATCCCTCCGAGTTGTCCTCACCAGGCCCTACCTGTCCACATAGACCATAGCCGCCGTACTTATCTCTGAATCGCACAGACTATATAGACTCTACAAATACCTCGCCTCGCCCGAGGATTCTGGACTCTCGAATGCTCAAGAAGTCTAGTCTATGCAACCCTTGCAGATCTCGAGATCCGCTTGTATAACACCGTTTAGCTTTCTTTCCGAACCGCAACCTACCGCAACTTAAAACGCGGACTTGATCTGATCTGAGTGTGGCTCTGCTCGCTTCGACGTTTGAATCTTCAACTCTTACGCTCGGTCTCATACAACTCCGGCAACGCCAGGAAGCCCTTGAAGTTCCTGTTCTTCTCGTTTATATATGCTCGCCGCTTGAGGTATCGTTAGTAACAATCCTTCTGCATCGACGGAAGTCCACTGGTCATGTTTATCTCGAAGTCGGAAGGATTTTGGTGCGCTTCGATATAGCGAATTATTCTTATTCCTAGACACCCTCCAAACCTGACCCAAATCCTGTCTTGTTCAGGCATCGATCTACGGTCCGCTCTTTCTCTTCCTCCAGACTCATAATTCCGTTATAGGGCTCTAAGCACGGTGCATGTCGGTCATGAGCACTACACATATTCGGGCTGCTATGTTGATGCACTTATAATGGACGATGGCAGCCTCAGATGTACAGTGTTCGAATATAATCATTGGGCCGTCGGTGCTGCTCAAACGTTCAAGCCCAGATTGTCCGATCGCAAACACGTGGCAGCGCGCGTCGCAACGATTATTTACGTGTCGTTGCGGGATTTCAATTTCCCCTTTGGGCGGACAAGGACGCGTCGTACTCGCAAGGTTTCTATTTGTGTGGCCGTGGACCGTCATGCATCATGATCTTGAGCTTCACGCGTTATGAACTTCCCATTCTTAAAATCCTAAATAAGGCGTTGAATTGCAGCTGCTCTAGATAAGTAGAGAAAGACAACGGCTAGTACAGTTCTTCGTTATGACTACTATTGCAGACAGGCTACGGATGGAGGTAAAATTCTAGCGAACATATCAGCCATTCAAACCAACCAGAAGTCTTATGGCGCGCACGACTAGGCCTCGTACTGAACTTAGATGCAAAATACAGAATTTATTCTCTTCTTTGCAGACAAGATGCGCTCACCACAGCCTTGAGACTGTCAAACCATATCGGTCCATATCCAACTCTCACCGGTTGGTGGGAAGCCTCTTCCCACCAACCCTCTCCCTGTCCTCTATCGCGCCTCCCAAACTCTTCAGCCCTTCCTTGTCAACCCACTCATATTTCACCACACTCTCATAATAAGCCTTCCACCTCCCCCCACCAAGTCCCATCAACTCCTTCCACCTCTCATCATCCTCGCCCCACAACCTCCTCAACGACAAAACCCAATTCGCAACAAGCACGTCCGCCCAGCTCAACGTCTGCCCCATCACCCACCTTCCTCCATCCCCATCGCCATTCGCATCCAACCACCCACCCACAGTCCTGAACCCCTCCACCGCCTTCCCCCACAACTCCCTCCTCCTCTCCTCCGTCTTCGGCACAAACTCATCAATCGACATCCCCAACCTCACCTCCCTCGACCTCTTCCAGAACTCATAATCCTGCGCTCCGGGGATCGGAGCTCCGATATCGGCGATGATTAGGGTAGTGAGGTGCGAGATGACGGTGGACGTGAATGCGGATGTGAAGGCTTGCTGGAGGGCAGTCGTGCCGGCCGGTATGAATTCGATTGTGTCAATGTGGGCGTCCGTGTTCGAGGGAGTGGGAGAGGGATACGTCTGGTGTAGATATTTGACGATCTCGAACGATTCGGATATCGTCGCGCCGGTGTTGGGGTCGTGGATGACTGGGAGTGTGTATATCGGTTCGCCGGCGATGTGGAGGGTGGGATCGGCTCCGATGGAGATGCAATGTTCGCGGATTAGAGGGAAGGCGATCCAGTGGGTACGGTAGGGGATGCCTTTCATGTTTAATGCGAGTCTAGATTAGGTGGTGGGGAGTTTGAGCCGTGCGTAGATGAAGAGGATGCAGAGATGGAAGGACTTGAAAGCTGGTTGATATAAAGCTTGAGTACATACCTAGCCTTCCATGTGTTGGGAGACCAAGCGCCTCCGGGGACTTTACACGGATAGTCGTAGAGGATGATCTTCTTCTCTGGACGCGACATATTGATTCTATTGAGTTGTCCAACACTTAGTCTCCTTGCTCGACGATAGTGACGAGCGTGCAAAGACTCCAGATAAGTACGATAAGTAGAACTCTGGTCAGCGCGATTCAGAAGTCAGGGTGGGATGTCGACTCGTCATGCGCCAGGAGGGCATCTTATACCGCTGCACTACGGCATCCGGTGAATCCTTCCACGCAGGGGTCGGTTCACATATAGCATGTGTCACGGAGCTTGATAGAGAGGTCGAGACATGAAGTATTCGACCAGCGCTTTCCGGAGGAGTCAATGCAGAGCGTCTACCGAGCTCGGTGGCTGTCGGTAGCCGTCGGCTTCGATTGTGGCGTTGTGGCGCCTTGGTACGCCCATCCTTCTTTCACAGCAAGGCATAGTGTAGTGCATACATCAGGTATCCATGATATCACACAATCATATCTCAACTGTTGCAACCAATTCAAGATAGAACTTACCTTACAGTGGCGGCAATCGAGGAATAGTAGCCTCCAAATCAACTCCAAATGGTACCGGTTGGTAACATACTTACACAACGGGCGTCCAGGTGTTGTCAGAGTGAGTCAATCGAACTACGGTGGGTCACCACCATGGCGTGCTATAGCATCGAAGCGGAGACCGAGATGACGACAATAATCTTGAATTCGTACGAACGGAACTGACTGGTACGGTCAAACTTCGATAGTACAAAGTATACCGTAGCACACATTTCCCTTCACATCATGCTTTAAACATAGCACCATCGGCCTGAGGCTGAACCGGCGTAAGCATCAATGGCATGGAGGGCTTCGTGCCACCCGAGACGACCGGTGCAGACACGGGTCCCATGAGCCACTCGATCTGTTTCTTGGCGGGCGAGAAGTAGAAGCTGGGAATGAGGAGAGACAGGACAATTTCTGAAACCATGGAGAAATTAGCGACGGTTGGTTGGTATTATACAAAAAATAGCATGAACAGGAGCAAACGTACTCATCTCCATTTGCGAAAACTTGAAGCCACTGCACGAACAATGATCAGATCACTTCCAGAGGAAAACGGCGCCAATTGGGGCTTACATGCAGCCTCTTCCTCCTCCCAAGAAGGTCAACCTACAAAGAACAATGTGCGATCAGTTCAAGTTGATCACTCGTATACTGTTTAGGGCAAGATCATACATGTTGGAGTAGATGCCGGGAACACGAGCATTCGTGACACTCTCTGGCAACGGCGACAACCATCTCTCAGGCTTCCACTGAGCAGCGTCTGTGCCCCAAATTTCGGTACTGGTGTTGACCTCCCTGATTCCAATGATGATGCTTGTGTCCTTAGGAATGACTATCTCAGAGATAGTACTGCCGTCGTTACCCCTGATAGGAGTGCTTAACGGCAGGACTGCGTCCTTGCGCGCACTAACCAGTTGCAGATAAAGGTCAGTGTCCACATTGTCCATACGCCGATGAGATGATCAGCGTACACCCTAGGAATATGGGTCACCGGAGGATACCTGGAGCATGAGAAGTAAGCCTTAATAACAATCACTGCTGCGATAGATGATCAGGCCTACACTCGAAGCGTCTCTCTACAAACTGCCTCCAAATACGGCAGCTCGTGTAGAGCGTCATAGTCGAGATCGCCTCCAGCTTCTTTGCGCGCAGCGACGAGCTCTTCACGCAGTTTGTCCTGTACGCTCGGATTCATGGATAAGAGCAACAAGATGCGAGATAATGCAGACGACGTCGTATCCATTGCAGCAAACACCAGGGTCCTGTATGCGTAATGAGATTCTGATCAGTGCATCGTGCAAGTCTGTGGTCCTATATGAGACCTACGACATCTGGCCCAATAACTCAGACTCGGGCATGCGGTCATCTTCATCAGCGGTCAAGTTTGATTGCACTGGGATCAACGGAGACCATGAGCATAGGTCATCAAGTTGAGAAAGGAATATCTGTCTTGCTCAGTATGCTCATAATGTCTCTGCCCTCACCCATCTGGTGAACTACTGCATCATCCCCCTTCTCCAGAGCCTCCTTCTTGTGGTAGAACACTTTCTTCGACGTTTCGTCCATGACCTCAGTGGCGTCGATCAACAGCTTGATATTCTTCGACGGCAACAATCGTATGGCCCAGTGGCGGAAAGACGCAGTCCCGAGATTGGAGAAGTACGGAAGAAACATGCGAAGGAGTTCGATCCTGCCAGCCGTTGGGCTACGTTATGCATGATCAGTTAGGCAGGGTTTGCACATAGAAAAGCAGAAAGACGTGCAATAGCATCTTGACCGCCTCAGCGTAGCGGTTCGATTTCCGCTCGTCCAGCGTTTCGAAGGAATATCCTAAGCCGCCTTGGCCGACGAGTTCCAACGCAACGCGAGTCATCCATTCAAGGACATCTAGCTCCTGGGGCCCATTGTCGACCTTAGCCTTCAGGATGTCGTCGAGCTGGGTGAAATCATAGAACAGTTATAACTTTTGTTTCGGATCGAGGTTGTGCGCCAGCGGTGCCCACCTGATGCGAGATACTGTAGAAAGTAGGAATCATATAGCGCATATGGTTGATAGAGAAAACTGGGTTGAGCAGCTTCCTCTGGCGACGGTGGTGCACTCCTATCCGTACCGTTAGACCCGAATAATTACAAGATAGTGTAGAGGCTGACCGAGGGTACTCAGTAAGCCCATCCCGAAAAACAGCTTATTGGACCTGAACAAGGTAAACGGCATCAATATCCACATCGAAATCGCGAAGGAGACTCTAGGGATAGCGAACGTACTCGATGAATGTGTCCGTTTCCTCGAATATTTCCTGGTCTTTGATCAAAACATTGTAAAGGGATTTGGGGTCACTTATATGGAGGTGAACATCCTGATGGAGGTGATGAGTTGCGTGACAGAGCCTACCGCGGGAAGACGACAACTCACTCCAAAGAGTCCCCAGATCCTGACGATTCGTCCATACGTCAGCGCTATACTGTCGTGGAACTCCCAACCTTGTAAGCTGAAGAACTGTTTCAGATTTCCTAGGAGCAGAAACTCGTCAGACGAGAGCGTATGCCAAAAGATGGAAAAGGCAGTGCTCACCGAATACGAAGGTTTGTGCAGGTGGCCCGGGAATGTTACGCAGATGCGCTTGCTTGTACGAAAGCCGCACTCGTGATAGTATCAGAAGAGCAGCACACAGTAAGAAGACGGTGGATGATGTGACCAGAACAGATGTTGTGAGTGATCTTTCTAGCAAACGCATTATAGGCGAAGTATCGACGATTGACGGTCTGGATTGCAACGAGACGAGTTGAGCAATGCTCCAGATCTTATATGTAGTTCACGAGGAAAAATAGTGGATCACTGCCGTAAAGAGGATCCGTTATGGAGCTCGTAGGTGTGCTGATGATGATCAAAAGTTCTATACATGTCGACAGGCGAAGAAAGCCCACACGGTTGTGGGGCGAAATGCTGCGTCCAATGAGGAGTTCGCAAAGGAGAGGAAAACCCACATTGTATGGCCACCGAAGCCGTACATCCGAGGACCTAATGGTCTATGAGTCCGGGGATGCACGCTTGCCAGGCCAACTGTTGTTCGAAGACATCCGAGCCGGACAAGGATTTGTACTGCGCATTACGCTACAGCGTACACGAGAACTTCGTGCACGATCTACTGGTTTACACCGACAGTCAATACGAGAAGGTAGGAAGATGCATGACGACTCGTGAGGATGCCAAGGCCGTGCCGGGGTATATAAGTAATTAGGGCACACCTGTTAGTACCGGAGGAGAACGCAAAATTGCCCCAGAGCCGTAATCGTTCGGTATTTAGGCCCCGCATTTGAGATCTCGCAAGCCCTTCCATCTTCAACCTGTACCGTTCGGTTCAATCGTCAGAGGTTTCTGGTCCTGGTTTCATTTGTGTCACAAAGAAAGTCGATGGTGTGGCGACTGCTTCGACGGTGGTCGAGTGGCAAGGATGCTACCGTCGGAAGATGCCGACTCGGGAGTTCAAAATGTACGCCACCCGGCGACTCAGACCTCTGACGACGCCACAAGGACCCGAGGACGAGGAGTTGAAGATGCGTGAAGCTCCCATTGACTGGCAGCTCGACTCACACAACGGGCGTCCAAATGTAGTCGAATTGTATTACTCGAATAGCACGGGGAATTTTATTTCATGGCGTGCGACGTTGTCGAACCTCTGCTTCACAGAAGCCAATTGCAAGATGGTGACGATAATCTCGAGTTTCGTCGAAGGAATGACAGAAAACCAACATACCCAGACTGATTGCTTCAGCCCTCTCCCTCTTATTTCGTCCCAGACAAACACTCCCACCGGTGCCATCTCCCTCGCTCCGATGTACCCCATCCACGGTCTCTCCCGGACAACCTGAAGGTTTTCAAGCGGCCCTGCGTCCCGTCCCGTCTAATGCTATGCCACCAGATATACTGTGCAGTAATTCTGTTTCTCCAAACATCTCTCTGAAAGCATATGTCCTCACCTCAGTCCACGAAAGGTTTACCGCCGGGTACAGGTTTCACTTGAAATAGTCTCCGCCTCGTTCATCATCTTGTTCATCTGCATCTAATGAGAACCCAATATTGCCAAGCCATGGATTCCAGGTGAAATCCACCCCAGATGAAGAATCGGGGGTTGTGGTGTCAGCCGGTGGACCGTCGGAGTCATAAACACGAAGACTTATAACCATGCGATTTGTGAGAATGTTGGGAATCCTGTTGTGATTTGAGTAAAGGTTGTAAGACGTTCTGATATTTTTCACAAGAATGAGACCAGTGACCAACACATGAAAGAATGGGCTGATGAGCGAACCGAGAGATACGGATGCACCCTAGAGAAGAAGCGTGCAAGGTCGTAAGCACAGCTGGTCTGTGAGGGTACGATAGAGGCACTTGCTGTCAGTTCGATGGCAGCAATCTGTGTGTCCAATTAGAATACAACGGCAGGGTTGATAAAATACGCTACGAACCAGAGTCAGAATAGTTTGGCCAAGACTGATTAAAAGCATTGCGCTGTGTGCAACCTTCTAAGATGGGTCAATCAATCGAGAGCTACCAGTAGAGGGACTGACAGGAAATATAGAACACCTATAATATTAGATCAGCGTACCCGTTTACATGACTAAAGCATAACAACGTTCCGTACCGTCTCGCCAGATCAGCTGTGTCACACTGGAGTGTCCCAGTCTGCGCATCTCGGCTGCATGGTCTTGCGTCTTCTTTTGAGTCAACACAAAGATGAAAGTATCAAAAGCGAGGCCCAGCAGCGGGATGATTGCCTCAACTATGCTTTCATGTGAGTATGGTACATGGATATCCCAATGGCAACATACATCTATGATGCAATCGGTTCGTTGCTCAGGAGTAAAGAGTCGGAGCGAATCAAATCACGTACCTAGTATAAAGTTTTATATTCGACGGGATAAACTCGCAGGGGCAAAGGGCATCGAGTCCGCCTGGGGTTGAGTGTTCTGGTTTTACGGCGACCTAATAAAGTATGAGAGGATGAAATCTCGGGAGAACACTAGACTTACGTCGACATCTATAAACATACGCGAAAGAATGAGGGCGATGGCCGAGCCCAGTACGGTTTTGCTTTGACCGTAGAGAGCATACACCCGCAGAGAAAGAAGAACTAGAGAAATAATTGTTTTGTATGGCGCGCACACGATTTAGCGCAACATTGAACTCACGACCAGCTGATACAACCGACACCGTGCCGAAAGCGTTGAGTAGCTTATCATGCAGCAAGCATCTGTAAACGTTGTCTATAGTGACCTGCAGGGCAGCGAAACATGGAATATAAATATACCCTGAGGCAGTGGGAGTTTTCGCCTCGCCAACAATAAGCCGTAGGATAAGGTAACCGAGAAAGCTGTACCGGTTCAGGATGAAGAGAGTCGAGGGCCCTTTTAATGACCTAGACCAAATGGCTCTTACTTCTGCCGGAAAAGTTTGCACAAAGTCTGTGAACCAAAGAGCTTCTCGACGCCGGTAATCAGGGCGAATCGGCCAGATAACGTGAGGTATGTACATACCGGTCGCAGACACAATGATATAGCTTCCAGTAAAACTAAACAGGGAAACAATTTCGTTTCAGCAAGGCATGGCGGTGAACACGGAATGACAAGTACGTACCTCAGCTGCTGGTCGAGAGAAACGTCAGGTTGGGGCATTATGGAGTAACGAAAACACCATTCAAGCATAGAGAGTCCGTTTTAAAGAGAAAACACTGCAATGGATGACATAGTGACGAACAGAAAGCTGATGCTCATGAAACTGTTGGGCTTTACACGACTTCATCTCACGCAAGGTCCGGAATCATCGGGACAGAAGGGGCGCTAGATGAAAGGCGATACATATCACAATGTATCTTTGGGCTGTAAATGTAGTTCTTTCAGGGCACGGATGGAGGTGAGAGCCAAAATGCACAGAGGGAGGAGGAGAATGTACCTCGTCAATTATTAACGCACGAGGTGTCATGGCGTGCAAGGCTAAAGTTGAGCGTGTTAGAGTACAGGAGGGTGTGGATTGGACAGCCAGGGTTGAAGAAGGAAGTGATGCAGATGGCGAGATTGTGCGGAGTCATCGACGTCGTGCGCTTGAGATGTGGACACTTTGGGTATATAAATTACTGAGGCTAAAATCATCAGCAATAATGTCTCGGAGCAACATCGACCAGGGCCACTCTGAGCCTGAGACACCATGTAACTTTCTTCCTTTTCGAAGCATCTCAGCACCCCACTGCCACATCGTCACCATAATCGATTGCCTCAGTCCAGGACAACATTCCTCCACAAATGCAATGAACCCTACTGTTTCAAATGTCGAAGGACAACAGAACCCACGACGTGAATAATGGTCGCAGAAAAGACCCGGACAACCTACACATCCCAATATGTCCGCTCCCGCTCGTCATCGGCGTCGTGAACGCTATCAATGAACACCTCGAAAGAATCAACATCATGATGGCTCGTCACCTCATCACCGCCCATGAATCAGGACCCGGGTATAAAGCTCTCCAGGCATTGTCTTAGTCGTCATGAAAGTCGAATCACCGCCAATAATATGTTGTTCGAAACCCATTCGAGCCTGAAGCACTGACTGCCATTAGAATCGTACAGTGAACAACTGAAGAACTCAACGAAAAGCAGCTTGTATTTTTGCACAAGCTTTTGAACTGACGAGACAGAAAAGATGTGGATCGAAAGCAATCAGCGGAGCAGGAAAAATACCAGCAAAATCATTACCACCGTAACAACATCAACAACTCCGATGTCTACGGACCTCCGTCAGCTGTAGCCGTCGCAGAGCATATATTTAGATAAATCGATAAGTACGTGCTTACAATTTAGCAGCTTGTGCGTCTTCCTCCTCTGCACCATCTTCAGACAAGAGGACGCGCAGCGTTTGCTCAGGTTCTTCCCAATGTGGCTACCCAGAGCGATATCGCGTCAGCATTGTAAAGTATACTCTGAGGCTAAATGTCAAACACGCACGTAATGGTTCGCTCCCTTAATTCTCACTATATTCACCCGTCCAACTCGCACTTTATGAGCCGCCTTCGCATCCTCTAGCTCCCGATGCAACGCTTGGATGCCCCATAGTACCGGCCAAATACTGCGGTCACACCATATAACCCTGACCTCGACGCTCTTCCACCAATCACCAGCGCTCCGCCCCGTCTCTGACATTCCAGTAACGGCAGAGGAGCTCTGGAGGACGTCTCGACCCGGGCCAAAGAGCGCCTTCCGCCTCATCTCATCAAACGTCCCCAGCCGCTGCCCAGCTTCAAAGAGCAAAAAGTCAGATCCTCCATCCAGGGCAGGTCCAGGATAGACGATAGTCTCGACATCTGCAGGCGATAGCGTGGAAAATGTAGACGGAGGATCGGCGAGCGCTGTAAGGCTGAGTTCGACCTTCGGATTGACTATTGGAGTGGAAGGAAAGGAAGGGGAAAGGTGATGATCGTAAAAGCATGACACCCATTCGGGAAACATGGCTACGCCTTGCCCTGGTGGAAGCGAAGGGTCCTCGTAGGGAGCTGAGGTGGTCAATGAAATCACCACCTCCTTGATATATCAAGGAAGGCGTAGTATACTTAGCCATTGAAACCAGAGGGTTCAGTAAAGTGACTCGTCTCAGTACTTTAGAGTACTGAGGCTTCTGGGGCACTATGGTATAGTACTGTGCTAGTAAAAGTGCGCAATGCTGGTTTGTGGGTATAGTACTTTTGCTCGTTGTAGTACTTTCTGCTGGTATAGTACTTTTCGCTTGTTTAGTACTTTCTGCCAGCCTAGTACTTTCTGTTGCCGCAGTATTTTCTGCTGGTGTAGTACTTTCCACCCTCGTAGTACTTTCTGTTGGCGTAGTACTTTTCATCGGTGTAGTACTTTCCGCCCTTGTAGTATTCTCTGCTGGCATTGTACTTTCCGCCGGTGTAGTACTTTCCGCCCTCGTAGTACTTTCTGTT